CTGCCCAGGCTGGCTTTGAATCGCGATCCTCAGATCTCAGCCTCCTGAGTAGCTAGGATTAAAGGCGTGAGCCACCAGTGCCCGGCAGGTACCACATTTTTTTATCCACTCATCTAATGTGAGCATCTGGGTTGCTTCCATATCTTGGCTATTGTGCCACAGTGAACATGGATGTGCAGTTGTCCTTATCATATCCTGGCTCACCTTTTATATTCTTAACACTTGCCTGATAGACTTCTTAAGTTTTGCATCAAAACCTATATGGAAAAATTCTATTTATTATGAACAGTATGTGTTGAAAGTGTTTTTCACTGCCTCAATCGAGCAAAGTCTTCTCCCCCCATAAAAATCATTTCCTGTGCTTCTTCCTGTCTTGACCTTTCTGTGAAACCTTCCAGAGAACACATCACAGTACCAGTTTCTTCTCCCTGCTCCTCAGAACACATGCTACTGAGGGTAAGGAAAGTCTTCCCTGTCCCTCCCTCCTTGCCTCCCCCAGGCTATGTGAGAAACTGCCTTGAAATGGAAAGGGGAATATTAAATGAAGATGAGAAATGTGGATCATGGTAGAGGGCTTGCGAAGAGTATCTCTCTTCCTCTGAAATTTCCTATCAGCGAAAAACCTGTGCCAAACATTTTTTCCTTGTCCTGTGTTTTGGTTCTTTATCCACTGTTGCCAACATCCTCTTCCCTCATGGAGTATAGTTTGTGCTAGTTCTATTTCAACTTGTGGGATGGAATCCATAACCAGAAGTGTAGCTAAACGAGAAATTCAACATAGAGAACATCTATAGCTGTGAGTCATAGCCCAGCAAAGGCTTGCTGAGAATGTGTATCCTGGGTCACAGCAAAATTTTCGATTATATCTAAGTCAGAACCAAGAGAACCATGATCAGTCAGAACTAATGTGGACAGGGCCAAATTGAAGGCAAAGCAACATAAGGTGCATGTAAGAAACACAGAGTAGCAGACCAAATGAAAGCCATCAAAAGGAAAAATGGAATATTTTTACTTTATAAGGAAGATGAAATAGGAGTAATTTGAAAGTATTGAAAGAAACTTAAGAATAGGTTGAAAATATAGGCAGTAACTGAGCCACTATAGAAAGTAAAGTAATATCTTTTTTAAAAAATTGAAATAAAATTTACATAGCATAAAACTGGATACTTTGGTCATTAAAATATGCAAATAGTCCAGGCACCAGTGGTTCACGCCTGTTTTCCTAGCCACTCAGGAGCCTGAGATCTGAGAATTGCAATTGAAAGCCAGCCCAAGCACGAAAGACCATGTGACTGTTATCTCCAATTAACTACCAAAAAAGCTGAAAGTGGAGTGGTACGCAAGTGGTAGAGCACTAGCCTTGAGCTCAAAAGCTCAGGACAGTACACAGGCCCTGAGGTCAAGCCCCAGTATTGCCCCTATCCCCCAAAATAAAGCTATTTGTGCCCAATACCCACCAATCTCAGCATTCAGGAAACCAAGGCAGGATAATTGGAATTTTGGTCCAACATGGAGTATATAGTAAAATTCAGTGGCTGTTGTACAATGTTGTATAGTGATCGTGACTAAATCCAGAAATTTTTCATTATACTAAAACAAAAGTCTCATACTCATCAAGTAATCATTTCCTGTTCCTTCCTTCTTCAGACTCTTGGAAATCAGTCATCTGTTTTTTGCCTTTCTGCATTTGCTGTTTCTGGACACTTGATATAAATAGGATCATTTATGTGTACCCTTTAATGACTGGCTACTGTCACTTAAAAGTTTTCTAAGAATTATGCAGTATAATAAACATTTATTTTCATGGCCTCATAGTAATAATATTTTATCCATTCATGGACATTTGGGTTTTTTTCCAACTTTTGCTATTATGAATAATGTTGCTATGAACATGGATGTACTTGTATTTATGTGTATATTTTGGCAAATTATAAAACACTTCTCCTAGCCTCTTTCTGAGTTCTAACAATTTTGATTGAACTTTAAGTTTAAATGTTGGTTGCACATGTATTATAAAAATCACAATGTTAATTCACACTCCACTCTAAGAAATTTTTCTCTTTAAGAGAGAAATTAGTGGCCGGGTGCTGGTGGCTCATGCCTGTAATCGTAGCTACTCAGGAGGCTGAGATCTGAAGATCATAGTTTAAAGCCAACCTGGGCAAGAAAGTCCTTGAGACTCTATGTCCAATTAATAACCAGAAAACCAGAAGTGATGCTATGGCTCAAAGTGGTAGAACACTAGCCTCAAGTAGAAGATGATCAGGGACAGTGCCTAGGGCCTGAGTTCAAGCCCCACCATTGACAAAAAAATAAAAACAGAGGAGAGAGAGATAGAGAGAGAGGGTGGAGGGGAGGAGGAGAGAGAGAGAGAGAGATTAACTAGGCACAGTGATCCATGCCTCATTGGCTGGAAAACGCAGAGCCATCCACGACCAACCTGGGCAACAAGTGAATGAGTGAGACCTTGTCTCAACAACAAAAAGCTCCTGGATATGGCGTCCTGTGCCTATTGTCACAGCTCCACAGAGGCTTCACAAACACAATGGCTCTGGCTCTGGCTCAGGTGGTAGAACATCCACCTAATGACTCAGGGCCCTGATACCTCTAAAGTAAAGAGAGTTGGGAGAGGGAAAGTGAGACAGGGAAAAATATAATTTTTTAAGTCCTCTCCCCCACTTTTTTTGGTACATCCTCCCACACTATAGACTTCCAGCCTGAAGTACCTGGCTGGATGAAAGACCTACATCTGTGCTGGTAGTTTGGGATTTCAGTTGAGACCTGGTCAGGGTGAGAAGGGGAAGAGAATAACGGCCCTAGCACTAACTGTATCTGAAATATCTTGTGCCATCTAGGAAGAGAAAAACCAGGTAGGCAAGCTGTTGATAAGAGAAGTGAATGAAGACTTTCATGTGGATGAAGTCTCCAGGGACAGAATCTAGAATGGAAGATTTTAAAAAAATTGGTATCTTGATCTTGGTTTTGACAAGTGCTCAAGATATTATCTAAGGTTGCAGGTACTCTCTTAAACATAAAGAACATGTTAGCCTTAAGGTATATATCAGTATAAAATGTATGTATGCTTTGTTTTCAAAATAAAAATGTCACAAGTGAGTATTTTTGTATGGCTACATACAAGAATGAATAGATAGGATTTTAGGCTAGTCATTGCTATAAGAGAGTTTTCCAAGATGCTACCAAAAATATATGAGATTTGAAATCTTCTTCCCCTGTATTTTAGTATTCCTGTCCTGCTACCTATGTGGGAAAGAAATAATTACTGCATCTCTAGCAAATATGTGTAGGTCTCGACACCTTAAAAGGAATTTTTAGGGCCTTTTTTGTGCCAGGAAATGAGTAAAACTCAGATTCTGTTCATTTAAAAATAAAAGAATAGCTGGGTGCTGGTGGCTCACACCTGTAATCTCAGAAGGCTGAGATCTGAGGATCACGGTTCAAAGCCAGCCCAGGCAGGAAAGCCCAAAAGACTTATCTCCAATTAACGACCAGAAAACCAGAAGGGGTGCTGTGGCTTAAGAGGTAGAACACTCGCTTTGAGCTGAAGAGCTGAGGGACAGCGCCCAGGCCCAGAGTTCAAGACCCACGACTGACAAAAATAAATAAGTAAATAAATAAAATAAAAATAAAAGAATGTCTGTGCTTTTATTTAGAACTTCTCAAAGTGACCACCTTAATTCTCAAACTTTATTTTCTTAACATTTAACTTAAAAATATGTAAGTAAATGTTTAAGTCAGAAATGGAGCTTTGGCTCAGGTGGCAGAGTGCTAGCCTTGAGCAAAAAATCTCAGGGACATTGCCCAGGCCCTGAGTTCAAGGCCCAGGACCAGCACAAAAAAACTATAAGTATAAATTTAGCTAGGTGTCACTGGTTCACACCTGGAGCCCTTTATACTTGGGAAGCTGAAATGGTTGTGATAGCCGTTCAAAGCCAACCACAGCAAAAAGATGTTCCAAGAGACCCCTTCTCTCTGGAGAGCTGGATTCAGTGGCTATGTACCTGTTTTCCTAGCTTCCAGAAAACTTAATATAGGAGGATCAGGCTGAAGCTTGTTTCTGGACAGGATGCAAAACCCTGTCTCAAAAATAATAAGCAAAAATTAGCACTGGAGGTATGGCTCAGCAGTTAAGAGTGCTTCCTTAGCAAGCAACTGGCCTTCAGTTTTGACTCCCCAAACTGAAAGTTATGCATATTAATTTAACTCTCATTTAAATGTTAAACACTTGATATGGAAAGAATAGATAAAAAGTTACATGTGTGTTGTTTTTCAACATTCAAAAATGATAGTGCAGAACCAGGCACAATGGCTTACACTTGTAACTTCAGCTTCTTAGGAGACTGAGATCAGGAAGATCCTAGTTTAAGCCCCATTGGAGCAAAAAGTTACCCATGTCAACCAATATACCAGCTATAATAGTTCATGCCTATGATTCCTGATAATGTGGGAGTCCTAATTAGGAGGATCTCAGGCCAGTCTAGGCAGAAACTCAAAACCTATCCCAAAAGTAACTAAAAACAGAAAGGGCTTGGAATGTGGCTCAAGTGGTAGGTAGAGCACCTGCCTCACAAGTTTGAGGCCTTTAGTTCAAACCCCAGTACTATCAGAAAGAATGGAGCTGAGAATCAAGCTGAAGACATGCTAAAGAGGTTCTCTTTCCTAACTCTGAATTATTGTCATATTTAGCAAGACTATTAAGTCTTAACAAATCAAGTGGATTTCTTATTTTTTATTGACCAGGACATTTACTAAATATTTTTTAAAAAGTAATTACGTGGGCATAAATTATAACTGCCTGCTTTCTTCTCCAGCTACTACTACAGTTGGATGTTACCCTTCCATTAAACAACTTTTTCTTGTTATTGAGATTCTTGTTGCAGTTAAGAGTATTTTTATTTGCCTCTGAAGTTATTGATAACACCCACATAGTAATCTGATGTTCAGACTTACATTTTCATTTATAAAATAATTTTTCCTCATAGGTATTTGGAGTAGATGACAATCAGGATTATAATAGGCCCATTATCAATGAAAAACATAAAGATCTGATAAAAGATTGGGCTCTCAGCTCTGCTTCAGTAGTAATGGAAGAAAGAAAGCCACTTAGCACATCTGGATTTCACAGCTCTGAGGTATTCATCTCTTCTGTATACTTAACATTTTAGATGCAACATATTATATACACAAAGTATAAATGTTTATCACTTGAACTTATATTAAATGATATATCTCCCCCCCCCCTTTTTTTTTGTCAGTTGTGGGGCTTGAACTCTGGGCTTGGGCGCTGTCCTTGCGCTCTTCAGCTCAAGGCGAGCACTGTACCACTTGAGCCACAACGCCACTTCTGGTTTTCTAGTGGTTTATTGGAGATAAGAGTCTCACAGACTTTCTTGCCTGTGCTGGCTTTGAACCTCAATCCTCAGATCTCAGCCTCCTGAGTAGCTAGGATTACAGGTGTGAGCCACCGGTGCCCACCTCCCCTTTTAAAACAGTTGTAAAATCTAAGTCTTCATTAAATGGAAGTCTGAAGCAATTTTGGCATGGTTTTTAGGATTTTTATATGTGGTTGTTTTGCAGTAGGTTAGTTTGAACTCATAGCCTTGTGCTTATCACTTGAGCCACATACAAGCCCTGTTTGCTTTCATTTTTTTTCTTTTATGTTTTTCCCCAAATAGATTTTGAATGTTTTCCTTAGGCGGTCTGGAGCATGATTTGCCTATTAATGCTTCCTATGTAATTGGGATGACAAGCACTTACCACTGTTATTTGAGATGGTTCTTGTAAACTCTTGGTTCATGCTCTACTTGAACAGCAATCCTCTTGATTTCAGTCTTTTATATTAAAATGCTTTTGTCAGTGAAAAGTAAATTAATAAATTTTCATACTCATCATTCTAAATGACATTATGAGACAAAACCAGAAATATACACTGCTTCTACTTTCCAGGAAGTATATGTCTGAAATTGAAAGACCTGTTATGCCAGGAAGTGTGTGAAAGATACTTTTTGATAAATATAACTTACATACCTCAATAAGTCAATGTAAAACAGGCCAGGATGTAATTAGTAGAATAATGTAAGATTAATTAAGGATGACTTGTTTTAAGATAACTGTGGCATCAGATTTCCTATGTCAAAAAAGAATGTAAAAATATATATAGATCAGAAGGAATTACTGAATTACTTGTCTAGATAGTAGAAAGTAAAATACAGTGGATGCCTGTATTGTGATATTTACAAATAAGTAAACTGGAAGTATATAAGGACACCTTGGCCACATTGTTTGTGGGACCAGAATCTGGATCGGAAACTGATTTCTTAATTCTCTTACTCATTATGCTATACTGTCTTCAGAAAAAGTGAATTTTTGATGTATGAATGGTAAATAATACCAAATATAAAAAAGAAATCAGAGGGGGCTGGGAAGGTGGCTCAGAGGTAGAGCGCTTGCCTTGCATGCCTGAGGCCCTGAGTTCGATTCCTCAGCACCACATAAGCAAAAAGAAAAAAGCCGGAAGTGGTGCTGTGGTTCAAGTGGTAGAGCGCTAGCCTTGAGCTGAAGAGCTGAGGGACAGCACTCAGGTCCAGAGTACAGGCCTCATGACCGGACCCAAAAAAAAAAATCCTTCCAAAAAAAAGAAAGAAATCAAAGAGCCGGGTGCCGGTGGCTCATGCCTATAATCCTAGCTACTCAGGAGGCTGAGATCTTTGGATCGAGGTTCAAAGCCAGCTCGGGCAGGAAAGTCCGTGAAAAATTTATCTCCAATAAACCACCAGAAAACCGGAAGAGGCACTGTAGGCTCCAGTGGTAGAGCGCTATCCTTGAGCTGAAGAGCTGAGGGACAGCACTCAAGCCCAGAGTTCAAGCCCCACAACCGCAAAAAAAAAAAAGAAATCAAAGTATACTATTTTACTGACATGTATCTTATTTATAGTTGTATGAAATGTAAAAAAAAAAAAAAACTTTTGGATGTACTATGTTTTAAGTCAGTGACTTACATTTTTAGTAGACAGGTGTTCTACCACTTAAACCACACCCCCAACTTTTTTGCTTTCATTATTATTCTAATAGAGTATATCTCTTTGTGCAGAACAGCCTGCACTGCAGTACTCCTATTTGCACTTCCATATAGCTGGAATGATAGGTGCCCACCACCACATTCAGCTTTGTTAGTTGAGATGGGTCTTGCAGACCTTTTTCCCCAGGTTAGCTTCAAACCATTTCTCCAGATCTCTGCCACCTTAGTATAGAATTGCAAGCATGAGCTTCCATACATGGCTTCAATTTTTTCCAACTAGGGTCTCATATTATACCCAGACTAGTGTGTACTGGAATCCTAGTAATACTTTGCACATAGCTGAGAGGACAGGTTGTGCCATTGCACCGTTTTTTGTTTTTGTTTTTGTTTATTGAGATGGGAACACACAAACATTTTGCCCAAACTGCCCTTGGACTGTGGCCCTCCCGCATCTCTGTCTCCCACGTTGCTAGAAATACGAGAGCCCCACACCTGGCAGATAAGATAGTTTAGAGACCTACATATTGTTTATTGATGATAAAATGATACACCGCTATGGTTTGCCATTTCCTGGAAATTGTTAAAAGCAGAACCATTACTGCATTATAGTGTTTATTCCCCCTTGATTTGCCAGAATTCTGGCACCTGCTGAACAGTGCTTTATTTGTTTATTGAAAGGAGATGATAGTTATGACTAAATGAAATTGTTCTTCATGAGAATCAGAACTGTCCGGACTATCTTTCATGCTCTTGTTCTTCTCTTTTAGGAAGGCACATCATCTGGAAGCAAGCGCTGGGTTTCACAGTGGGCTAGTCTGGCTGCCAATCATACAAGGCATGATCAAGAAGACAGGATAACTGAATTATCTGCATCTCTTCCTTTAGAAAAGGGTAATTTCCTTTCTTTTCCTTTTTTTTATTTTTTGGTGAGTCATAAATCAATAATTTTTTTAAAAGACTAAATTGGCATAGTAAAAAACAAACTTAAGCAAACATTCATTTATGTTTTATGGGTTTTTTTCTTTGCTGGTTAATTGGAGGTAAAAGTCTCACAGGCTTTCCTTCCTGGGCTGGCTTTAAACTGAGATCCTCCGATCTCTGCCTCTTGAGTAGCTAGGAATGCAGGTGTGAACCACTGTCACCTAGCTTGCTATTGACAAGTCCTTTTTGTTGTTGTTCAAGACTGGGACTTGAACTTGATGTTTGACTCTTTTTGCTCATTGGCAGGCTCCCTACCACCTGAGCCACACCTCCAACCTCGGCAAAGAGTTTTTAACTTAAAATTTAATATAATATTATTCACCCTTTACTTTTAACTTTTTTATCACAGTGGGTTCCTTGTTTGTGGCTTTTATATTACAGAGACAGATACTGGTGAATCAGGCATGTCACTGCGAAATACTAGCTCTACAGCTTCTTTGATTAGTCAGGGAGAAAGGAGGAGACGAACTCTTCCCCAGCTTCCAAATGAAGAAAAGGCTGTTGAGAATGCCAGAACAAAGATGATGGCACAGAGGTCAGAGATAGGAGAGAAGCAAGACACAGAGCTGCAGGAGAAAGAGACGCCTACACAGATACACCGGAAAGACAAACAAGATGCTGATAGAACCCTGAACAAAATGAACCGGGCCGTCAATGGTGAAATTCTTCAAAGTGGTGGTGGAGATAATAAGACCTTGCTTCATCTAGGGAGCTCTCCCGGGAAGGAGAAGAATGAACGTGATTCAGAAGCTTCTTTGGTAAAGCAAACGTTAGCTAAAATCCAGCAACAACAGGAACAGAAGGAGCAGATCCAGTGGACACCTACTAAGCTGTCTCCAAAAAATGTTTCAGGCCCAATAGATAACTGTAGGGAGGAAACTTCTAAACAAGAGTCCCAGCCTCCAGAAAGAATTCCAGGACTTTCTACAAGCAAAGGAGAAAGGATTATACAAAATGAGAGCAAGAGAAAAAAAGCTGAGGAAATCCTGAAAAGTCAGACTTCGAAAGGAGGAGACAGGAAAGAATCTTCCAAGTCTTTAGTGCGACAAGGGAGCTTCACTATAGAAAAACCTAGCCCAAACATCCCCATAGAACTTATTCCTCATATAAACAAGCAGACGTCCACCCCGCCCTCCTTAGCATTAACATCTGCAAGCAGACTGCGAGACAGAAGCGACTCTGCGGAGACTGATTCTAGTATGGACACAACTCTTATTCTGAAAGACACAGAAGCAGTGATGGCTTTTCTAGAAGCTAAACTACGTGAAGATAATAAAACTGATGAAGGCCCAGATACTCCCAGTTACAACAGAGACAATTCCATCTCCCCAGAGTCCGATGTGGATACAGCTAGTACAATAAGTCTGGTCACTGGAGAGACGGAAAGAAAGTCCACTCAAAAGCGGAAAAGCTTTACCAGCCTATACAAAGATAGGTGTTCCACGAGTTCTCCTTCCAAAGATGTTACAAAATCTTCATCTTCAGGTGTTCGGGAGAAAATTGAAAAGAAAACAAAAAGTCGTTCCACAGATATAGGTTCCAGAGCAGATGGTCGAAAATTTGTACAATCCAGTGGGAGAATAAGGCAGCCTTCAGTAGATTTAACAGATGATGACCAGACGTCCAGTGTGCCTCACTCTGCTATCTCTGATATTATGTCATCTGACCAGGAAACATACTCTTGCAAATCTCATGGAAGGACTCCACTCACCTCCACTGAAGAGCATATGCATTCCAAACTGGATGGAAGCAAGGGCACAAAGTCTAAGACTTCTCCAGTAGCACCCAGTTCATCTGGTAAACCCACCACTCTTCCAAGGCCTAGACCTACCAGGACTTCCCTCTTGCGCAGGGCACGGCTTGGTGAGGCTTCTGACAGCGAGCTGGCTGATGCTGACAAGGCATCTGTCGCTTCTGAAGTATCCACCACCAGCTCCACATCCAAACCCCCCACGGGAAGGCGCAGCAGCTCTAGGATTGACCTGCTGGCTCAGCCCCGCAGGACAAGGCTTGGCTCGCTATCAGCCCGTAGTGACTCTGAAGCAACACTGTCCAGAAGTAGCGCCTCCTCACGCACTGCAGAAGCCATCATTAGAAGTGGAGCCAGATTAGTGCCGTCTGATAAATTTTCTCCTAGAATTAGAGCTAACAGTATCTCTCGACTATCAGACTCCAAGATCAAAAGTATGACCTCATCTCATGGCTCTTCTTCAGGTAAATTGGATTCAGATTTCTAATAGCATAAGCCTGTTCTGTTTGAATTAATTTCTTCACAGAATAGTCAAAATAAAAGTTAAAATTCAGTTACTCTTCTTCCTCTAAGAATAATGTTTAGTGGATGGAAAATTCCAAAGTAATTACACTTCCAAAAGTACTCGGGCCAAGTCATTGAACTGAGTCAGGAGTTTCACTTTTCCATTTGGTAACACAGGTGGATTTATGTGTCACAATTGGATTAGGACTTAAATAGTTTACACAATAGAAATTAATGTACTTCTAAAAGCAGGTACTTCAAAGCCCTTACAGACCTGAAGAGAAACACAGTATACTGGCTTTTAAGAGATAGATAACAATGTTTTTCTTTTATTATCTATTTATTTTGAAGTGTCTTCTATCCTTACACATTTGAAGTTTATGATTGAATAGGTGAATACTACCTCCTATTCCATTGGAAGATGGCATCATAGGTACTTGTGAACATTCTCACAAGTATCTGTTACTGTATCGTTTCATTGTAGTAATTAACTGTAATTGAGTATAATGACTACAGAAATTACTTACTGACACCCAGAATCTAACTGCTGCTGGTGTATTTGACTGTTTATATGCTTCATACTCAGTCACATTGGTGACTATCGTAGTTAGGTAGAGACTTATGTGCATCCTGTAAGCATGCTCTTATTACTTCATAAACAGCTTTGTTTATGGGTGTGGCTATAAAAGGCCAGTGGAAATCCACCTGTTATAAAACTGGGAGATTTATCATTATTTTCAGTCAGCATCCCAAGTGCAGTCTAGAATTAAGAGTAGAGGGAAAGTTGGTATATAATTTTATCTTTTATTTTTGTTTGATATACATCTACCACAACATATCATACAAGACTCAAAACTTAAGGTAATTTGGAATATTTATTTTTCTACTTTCTGTTCCTCCTCTTCTTCACTGCTGCTTTCCTCCACCTTTACTTCTCTGTTGGCTAGTAGGTTTAGTAATGGTAGCCACAGTCTGTGGTAGGAGTGGCTACAGCTGAAACTGGAGAATATATAATTGTGGACTTTTTAATTACTTTAACCCTTGTTTCTACATGTCAAGCTTTGATTGGTTTTTAAATTTTTATTGCCAAGTATTTGAAGACAGTGTTTTGGTTTGTGTTTATTTAGTACTGTTTTCTTTGTTTCTTATGGCTCTACTACCTCTTCAGTTCACATTTCCTTTGTGCTGAGTTTTATGGTGTGTACCCTGTAAATTTCTCCTGCCTCACTGTTTGGTTTATCACTCTATCTCCATTCCAGTGCATTAAAATATTCAATATTCTTCCATCCTATCATAAACTGTATCATACATTGTTTGATACCAAGTAGTGTAGAGTAGTTCTTCCTTCTATGCCGCGTGACTAGCTCTTACCACATGAGTGAACTAGTTTTATTCCTTATTGTTTAGTGTAAGACTGCTTTGGCAAGTTAGGGAACCCATAAGATACCATATTACTTAACATAGACAAATTAATTTTATATTCTACTTTGATCAGAAATTAATAAATTTTCTGTGTCAAAAAAGCAGCTTGAATTCCTTAATAAAATTCCTTAGGGAAAATAGAGATGCAATATATTTATGAAAGTATATAAATAATGTATTAGTCGTATATAAAGTAATTGCAGTCACAGAATTTAAGAAGTAGAAAGAGCATTTCCTTTAGCGACCAGGACATGAACTGTCTCTGTCCAGATGGCACGGACAAGCAGAATGAGAGTCCAGACCCTTTCGTTACCAGTCTGTTGCTTTCTACCAGGTTTACTATTAACTCAGAAGTACATTGCCAGTTTCTGGAAGACAGCATAAATCTGTTGGATTTCCAAAGTATACATAAGGTCAATGTACAATATCACAGTTTTGTATTATTCATTAAAATTTTTTGCAAGTGCTATTTTACCTAGATTGTATCCTGTATTCCACTCTGGGCCTAAAGCCACATTGTGATTGTGGAGAATAAATTCAGATTCTCTTAAGGTGTCCATTTATTGTAGTATTCTATCTGATCAAGAAAGACAGTGGCCATAATCTTTCAGTTAGTGGGGAAAATACTATAGTAGCTGTATATACGAGATAGTATAAATAAGGTAATTAGGTGTCTTTGACAGTTGGCATTTCTAATGTCCTAAGATAGTTATAATCTTTAATGGAAAAATTAAAAACCTTAGTTTTTGAAATAGGATTTAAAAGAATAGTATTTTAAATTGTATATTCTACAACGTTAACAAAAGTTTTGGTTTTGTTTTTTTTTTGGTCCAGTTGTGGGGCCTGAACTCTGGGCCTGAGCACTGTCCCTCAGTTCTTCAGCTCAAGGCTAGTGCCCTACCACTTGAGCCACAGCGCCACTTCCAGCTTTTTTCTTTTTGCTTATGTGGTACTGAGGAATCAAACCCAGGGCCTCATGCATGCAAGGCAAGTGCTCTACCACTGAGCCAACTTCCCAGCTCCCTAACAAAAGTTTTTATAGGAATATATATA